CGCAGCTCTGGTAGAGCAGCCCCAGGCTTGAAAAGTGAAGCAAAATGTCGTCTCATGAATTGGAAAAAAACTTTGCATGCTGGTCGACCCTCCTTCAGAGGTTGGCCAGCTGTCACAAACAAACGGTACTGCAAAATGCGTGGCTATGCCACTATGCCATACACGGACTGAACTTCAGGCCCAGTTCAACCCTTCATCAACAACTCTCAGAAAGGCATCACAAAGCCCTCGGCACGCTGTTACTTGGCAGGCAACATAAGTGCAGTCATTCGGTTGCCACCGGTCGCTTGGGTCGTCTTGCTATCTGTCTCGCCTTCGCAAGCACTTTAGCAGACATGGCCACGACCAGTTGCAGAGTGATCATGAGCAAGGACATGCTGATTCCAAGCGCGGTGAACCAGCTGCCTCCGAAGTAATATAGGTCGATAGCACCAATTATGCACTCTGGCATGTCTTCCAAGAGTCGGAGACCTTGATGAAGTGGAGCTCGGAGCTCGTTCAACTTCTGGATATCCGTTTCCTCAAGCATCAAGACAACCAAGACATTGAACATTGGTAATTCTAGAGCGGCAGATTGCCGAAGAATGTGAAAGTCCACCTCTTCCGGACCTTGGGCCTGATCGTCCTCCCTAGCGATGACAAGGACCAGAACGAAGAGCCATAGCAGCCAGGCAAGCACCGGGCACATCAATGCTATCAGCACCACTGCCACACCGCCCCCAAGCAAACCCAGGAAGGTGATAAGGCACAGCACACAGGCCAAAAGAGCATAGATCATCACATGCGGCCGCCTGAAACGAGCTGTGTCCAGCCCAAGTCTGTTGGTGTAAAACCTGCAGGTCCAAATGATTGTGCAGGCAAAAGACACGCCAGCACATACCCACAGAGCGTGCGCCAGAGTTGGACAATGGCACGTGGATGTTCTTCGGTAAACATCAAAGGCTCCGCAGTTTTGAAGCTCGTAGAACCCGTTACAGTGTGCCGTGCTGGCAGTGAAAGTGAAGGCATCTGCTTCGCAAACGTCACCCGGCGTAACTGGAGAAGCGCAGTTACTCATGCTGTTCAGCTCAGCATACTCTGTTCGACACTCAGCTGCTAAGATCGGGACAAGGGTTGTACCGTCTGAGCATGTTGCATAGAACTTTGTCAAGACAGCTCGTTGATGGGCTTCCACGACATAGAGGGCTGAAGAAACCAAGTTCACAGACTCAAAAAGCATGCAAATCGCAAGGAACCAGGGATGGTTCTTCCAATGTTGCACTGTAGGCATGTGCAGGTGATTGGCAAGGCCTGAGTTGGCCTGTGCTTCGGCATCTTCGGCCTGAGCTGGCTCCGAATTGTCGTCAACAGTGCTGTGCCGCAACCCATAGCTCTGGTAAGTTTGGCCTGGAACATGGGTTGGGATGCGGGCGTCTTGTAGCCTCCATAGAAATCTGAGACAGCACACGCCAGCAGTGACAACGAGGTAAGCCGCGAAAGCCAGCAGCGTCCATACACCTGAGCTGATAAACAAGAAGCCCCACATCGTAGAAGCACTCAGTCTTTCCTCAGTCTTCGTTGCGGTCGTGCTGATTGAGGACAACGTTGTTGAGGATAATGTTGTGGAGGTTCTCGTAGATGAGGAAGTTGTTACAGACGTTGATGTGGTTGAGGAAGTTGTTACAGACGATGATGTGGTTGTGGATATGCGATCGAGCTTCCATAGGTCATCCAAGTGAGAACTCGCCAGGTTCTGTCCACCATGCACATAAAGTACATCCCGAGCAGTGTCGCAAACCATTTGATGGAACTTTCGCCCACTGGGCCACTGGTCCAAATCTAGGCTTCTCCACTGCATGACATCAAGCTCCAGCTTCCACACTTCGCCCGGATAGGAGTAACTGACTGTTCCGCCATGGAGCCAAAGCGCATTGCTAAAGCTGTCATGTACCATCTGGGCCCCTTCTCGCCCCGCAGGACCTGTGGCATGCACCTGGTGCCAAGTCATGCTTGCAAGCTCCAGCTGCCACAGATCGTGAAGGAAGCCCACGGTTTTGTCATTATACCCGCCATGCAGCCAAACCACATGGCTGCTGCTGTCATAGACCATCGCATGAGCGCGCCGCACGGATGGCTCCGTTGTACCTGAGAGCAAGGCCTCACTCCATTCGAAACTTTGCAAGTCCAGCCTCATCAAGTCGCCGTAGCATTGGCCATCTGACCTCCATCCACCCCCGTGAAGCCACAAGGCCACGTTGCGGCTGTCGTAGACCATGCCAGCCATGTAGCGAGAAACCTTAGGGGGGGGGGGACGGGGACGCTGCGAGCGGTTGGCTCCACTGCATCGTCCCCAGGTCGAGGGTCCAGAGATCAGCTCCTGCAAGGAGCCAAAGAGCGTTGTGGTGGAGATCATAGACCATCCTGTGGGTTCTCATGGCGGGTGGCTTGGTGGATGTTGAAGGTGTCTGCTTGCTCCACATCTGTGTCTTGAGGTCAAATCTCCACAGGTCATCCCTGACTATCCCACTCAGCCCACCATGGAGCCAAAAGCAATCACTGCGATTGTCATGCACAAGCTGATGCTGGGTCCTCGCCAGACGAGTGGTGGCAGACGGCTCCCTCCACTGTACTTCTTCGCCGATGGCCCGTGCTCGCCAAGGGAAAAGGGAAAGCGCCATCTGGGGCAAGACGTCGAGTCGGACCATGGCTCCACTTCCGGGCATCTGCAAGAACCTGGCTGTTTTGGGTACTTCTTGAACCATGCAATCGGCAACCTTGCAGCCATTTTTCCGGAGTTAGGGCGGTGGAAGCTTACGGGGTCTAGGGCCTAAGACATCTAGCACTGGGCAGTTCGAGACTTCAAGTTCTCTCAAATTACTTGGAATACCTACTAGACTCCATCCTAGAGTTTGTTGTGGCTGGAACATCCCAATCGATCACTGCTCTGAAACAACACACCATCCAGGTCGCAGGAGTAGGGCTCATAGCTCCCAACACTCTCCATCAGAGCATGGTATTTGCAGTGTACAGATCGTCGCAACAACCAGCCCTATAACCCTCTATGCTTCTTCTCTGTGAGAAAGCCCTGAGCCATGGTATGTGTGTCAAGGGACCTCCGCAGCCTTCTCCTTGGCACAGTGCTCGCAAAGCATGCCCTGCTTGATCACCGCCTGGCTCGTCTTGTAACCGGAGGTCTTCGGGTGTCTATCGCCTCCAAGGCTTCTAGGTTTTAGAGCCTACAAACTTTAAGGTGTTTGGGGCTTTAGTTCGAGGCTTAGGATGTGGGAGGCTCGAGTGAAGCAGTGCTCGGCGCAGAGTTTAGATGTGGCCGTACGGCCTTTAGTGTGGAAGGAGTTTAGGGCCTACACCAGGACTTGGAGCTTCTGGAATATATAACGGAATATAATCTTACCACTTGTAACTATTAATGATTATTAATACCATACTACCACACTATATTATATATTATATTATTATGGTATATATTCAGCCCAAAGCCCTACACCTCGGGGTCTCCTAGCGCTGCAGCTCCTCAGCTCTTGGGGGGAGATCGGCACACTTAGGGGTGGAGGGACGATCTGCCCAAGATTCCCAGGAATGCTAGAAGGGTTCCTGCAAGTCCATACTGTAAGGGCTGTAAGGGGCTGTTGCTCTTACACGTCCTATGTTGCTACGATAGCTGTATCGGCTACTGCACTCCTGCACCCCAAATATTGGGGCGGTTCCGCACATTCTCGACCCACCAGTCTTTCCAAAGCGCTCCACACCTGACTAGAGGGCCGTGTCACTAGGCTGTTTTTGGTTCTTGGAGGCCGTAATCCAGAGTCTCGTGTACCCACGAAAGCCCAAAGTGTTGCGGCACAGTGCCCTTGTAGGGCCCTAGCCGGACCGTTCGAAACTCACTCGCCTCCTAAAGCCCCTCTTCACCTCAAGCCCTAAACTCCTGAACCACAAAACCCTGAACTCCAGACACCAAGCCCTTTCAACTCTGCTGGAATGTAGGTCCTAGAACTTTAGACCTCAATCCCCGAACTCCTCAAACACCCAAGGCTCCAAAACCTCGCTCGATCCGCGCCTTACAGCCTTTGCATCGCAGGCTCTTCGTAATAAACTTCGACAAAGCTCCGCCTGCATGTTCGGGGCGTTTTGAGACTGCAGGTCGTTTCGAATGCCTGGCAAAGAGAGAGAGAGAGAGAGAGAGAGAGAGAGGTTGATTTGCACGGGTTCGTCGGAGTCTCTCGGGACTTGAGCAGGATCCAGGTACTCTGGGTTCAAAAGAAGTCTGCAAGGAACCCCCCGGCAACTAATACTAAGGGATCTCACCACTGTTCTTAAGGCTTCCTTTCGGGTTTACGTCGGTCTTTGACACGAAGTCCCGGCTTGCGGACGAAGGGCTGAGGCTTCTGCAGGATCCCTGTCCAAACACAAAACCGAGAAATGCAGGGCCTCAATCGTTGGAATAGGAGTTGGGGGTCTCATGGTATAACTATACTCAGGAACCCTAAAGAATGAGATTGGGAACTATTCAGGCATCAAAACTAGCTACTAAACTGAACCAGAGCCACATTCAGGGCAGGAAAACTGTATCAAACAGCTCCAGAATGCCTATCGAAAGTATTCAGCTGCATGAAAGAGTGCTATCACATTTTCGGACAAACAGTGACTCGGAGTGCGCTTCCCGGGACTTGCCGTTGTTTGGCTTTAGGGACAAAATAGAAAATTAACACAGATCATGTCAAATGCCGGATACAGGGCCTTGATCAACAGCTACAATGGGGCTTAAGAGGGATATTAGACTATGAGGGAATGCGACTCTGTACTGGGTTTGAGGGGGTATATCATAATGGAAATATTATATGTACCTGCAGTGCTCTAGAGCGGAATAAGACTAATATTATTACTTGGGGTCCGGGGGATACATTCTAGTGTGATTTGCTTATAGAGACTGTTCCGGAGTACTACGGTTCTAACCATCCAGACCCAGACCCCTGCTTTGCCTTCTTGCGTGGGCGCGTGAACCTTTCGGGTGTGGTCGCCGTTGAAGAGCCTCAGCTTCACCAGCCAGCTCCCTGGTTCGGGAGCAGACTTCCCAGACCTTCTTATGGTAATGAAGAGTAGGGGTAAGAATAAGAACAACCAGAATTACATTATCGCGTCGGTGATCTGTGTATACTACTTATAATGGCTTCTCATTGCTTGTTCTCTGCATTCTGGCCCATATCGCTTGCATATACTATCAGGCCGTCATTTTGCAGGAATATCCGAATATCCGAGAGCGCGAGATCGCTCCGAAAAATTCTGAGCCGAAGAGCAGAGACTGGGCCTTGTCATCGTTGCCTCAACTGACTTTGGGGGTTTTGGGGGTTGTTGGGGTTTCCGGCTGAAGGGTCTTCTTGTTGCTTACCGGCTCCAGGGCCCAGGCTTTTTGGGTTTGGGCTTAGTTAGTTTCGGTTTCAGGATTCAGGTTGTGTGGCCTGGGGCCTGGGGGTAGTTTAGGTTTCAAGGCTTGTGTTGAACCCTGTGCTAATCCTAAACCGGGAGGACTCAAAAGTTTTCGACTCGCACACTCGCACAAGGCAGGCACGAGTTCAAGATTTGCACAGTACCTGGAAGGGTCAGAAGCATAACCTCCGCATACTGCCTTGATCAGGATACTCCAAAGATTCGAACTCTCGCAGCCTCCCGAGCCGATCATGTGGAGCGTAGTACTAAAAAACGGAACAAGGTTATCTTTAAAGAAGAGTATTCGGGAAACCATACCCAAAAACGAACATGATAATGGAAATAGCATGCATTATCAGAAAATGCATCCCAACCATCATTGTCATAAGAGTAATGCCAGGAGGCCCATGATAGGGCCGAAGATACGAAGTAGCGGCAGCTGCAACTGATGCTCGATGTAGTAGTTGGCATCGATGGACTTGTTGTTCCTTCGCCCGCTCTCACAAGCCCCAAACCAAGTTCGACAGCTGAACTGCATTACTGCGCAGACTCAGGCCCTTCCTCATTAGGCTTTAGGATGAAGGGGGTTTGGGGGGCTCAGCAGCTGCGTTGAGGCGTGGCAGGTGAAAACCACCACCACCACCACCACCACAGAATCGTCTCCTGCTCATCATGGTCCGCAATATTGCCATCATGGTCATCATCAGAGCTCCCCTTACCGCCATCAACAGCACCAACGTCTCCTGCACCTTCGTCGCCGTCAACACGAGCATCACCGAATCATCACCATTTGCAGCTTGTAGACATTCCAAGGCACGTGCAGGCAAGGCATGATGTTACCAGTGAAACTTTGATGCATCTTTGCATCTTGCTCCACCGAACATAAGCTCACGTTCTGCAAGCCCGAAATGAGCTCCAAACCCGCAACATTAAACCGGCGTCAGCCTTCAAGCTGCGGTTCTAAGGAACCCAAGCCCTGAACATGCAACAACAACGCTGACCTTGCCCCTCAATCCTAAACCCTAAGAGCCCTCAATCCCAAACCCCTACCCTGACGCTCAGGCCCTAAACCCTGCAAGCCAAAGCTCTCGAGCGCGAAAAGGGGATCCTCGGAGCGCTCATAAGCCTGGCTGGGGCGGTGAATCCTTTGCTTCATGTTCTTTGTGTGGCTTCTTTGTGCTTTTGCCTTTTGAGCTTGCTGCTGTTTCATGTTGTCGTGTGTGGGTACTGTTGCCTTTCGCTTCGTGCGTGTGTGTGTGACTCTGTGTGTGTGTGTGTGTGTTTATTCTGGTTGGGGGTGGGGGTGGGAATGTTCCGTCTCTGTCTCTGTCTCTGTCTCTGTGTCGGCCTCTGTCTCTCTCTACCACTCTCTGTCTCGCTCGCTCTCGCGCTGGGTTTAGGAGTTTAGGATGTCTTGGAAAGTCACAGCCTGGCATCCAAGCAAAACCCCGCATTTCTAACAACAACACATGTTACATATGCGAATATCTGCAAGGCCAGAAAGTGTATTCAATCCATCTTGCACCCCGACAAGCCGCATTTATCAAATGCGACGATCTATACTGCAGTGATTGCACTGAGGAAGCCTCAAGAATCCTACTCCCAATTCTGCAGATCTCTGTATTCGATCCCGGTTTTACGGTTTTGGGGTTTCGGCGCTCAAACTCGGACACTCCAGGCATTTGGGGTTTCGGGATGTTTAAGCTTTTAAGTGGGGGTATACAAATGTGGCTTCATGGCCAAAGTTTTCGTGCTGTCGACTCATGGCTTCAGATTTTGGCGCTTCTGATTTCCGGCCTAAGGCCTATGTTATTACCTGGTTGTGAACCCAGTAGTGTTCCCCAAACAGTGTGGAAACGTTACGGGGTTCTCGCGTTCAGTGTAAAAACATGATTCGGCGGCCGTGCAGCGCGGGCGGAAGAAAGGCTTTGCGTGCTTTATTATTTGCAGCACGCGCTCAAAATCGGGTACCCTCGTCCTATTATTTACACAAGATGTTCGTGGCGTGCCTCCCGAGGTGATGAAGTGCATAGTTTTCGCTGAAGCCCTATTATTCTCCACCTTCGGTGTGGGGTCGCTAGATTTTAATTGCTCCCTCCTCGCCCGTTGAGACTACCTCCAGGGACCGACTGGAGTGCCCACCCCCGGATCTGAGTGCCCAACCCCAAACACTACCGTGAGACTCCCTGGAGTGCCCAACCCCAGAGACTACCCTTGGAGAGCCCAACCCCAAAGATTACCGTGAGACCCCCTGGTTTCTGGAGTGCCCAAGTCCAGAGACTATTGTGAGATTGCCCGGAGTGCCCAAATCAGAGACTACTGTGAGACTGCCTGGAGTGCCCAACCTCACAGACTACCTACCGTGAGACTCCCTTGAATACCCAACCTCAGAGACTACCGTGAGACTTCTTGGAGTGCCCAACCCCGGAGTGCCCAACCCCAAAGACGGCCGTGAGACTCTATGGAGCCCACCCGGCAACCTTAACACCAGTCAGTGGTGAGCTCCCATGGATCGTCGACTGACCTGAATCGAACACGTGTTTTGGTACGTGCACGGGGTGACCCCAAGCATGGGTCGTCGAATGACCTGAATCGAACTCTCCTGCTTTGTTCCGTGTACAGGGCCCCACGACCGTAACGCCAGTCAGTGGCGTGACCCCATGGAACGCCGAATGAGCTTAATCGAGCACTCATTTGTTGTTACGTGTACGGGGACCCCACGACCGTAACGCCAGTCAGTGGCGTGACCCCATGGAACGCCGAATGAGCTTAATCGAGCACTCATTTGTTGTTACGTGCACGGGGACCCCACGACCGAAACGCCAGTCACTGGTGTGACCCCATGGATCGCCGAATGACCTGAATCGAACACTCGTGTCATGCTGCGTGTACGTGCACCCCACGTCCGTAACGCCGGTCACTGGTGACCCTGTGGATCCTCCACCGACCTGAATCGAACACCCCATGGGTCGCCGAATGACCTGAATCGAAAACTTGTGTTTTGTTACGTGACCGGGGACTCCACGACCATAACGCCAGTCAGTGGTGTGGCCCCCGAACGCATTATTCGTAGGATGGGGATGTTCGAAATAAAATTATTTATAGAGGGTTGGCCTGGAGGGGCGTGCCCGGGGGTCCTTCATTAGCATGGGGAAAGGCGGGAACTTGCCAACAGGCAAGAAATCAAACCTTGGAAGCTGGCTGCTAACCGGTACACGACATCGGCATGTAGCCTTGGCATTCTTTGCCCCGGCGCAGATGACATAGGGCACCTGAGCAAAGCGCAGTTGAACATGTGAATTTGGAACCTGACCTGGATCTACCCTAAGCCCCTAGCGGGCATGACTCCCTATCTGAAATTACCAAAACCTACTTCTCTGTAGGCTCTTTACAACAACCTAGTGTGGATTTTACTGTAACTTGAAAGTAGGTCGCACACATGAACACACTCCTGGTGAGGATGCGCGGGATGATGCATTACTATGTTGGTGTTTTCCTATTGCCCTTCTTTACCGTCGTTATAGCTCGGGCTGTGTTCAGTGGAAGAGTGGTCTTCGCCAAGCCTTTGCTGGGTGATTCAAAGATTGCCACAGCCAAGACGCAGGAGTGCTTGCAAAGCTCCAGCACCCAAGGTGTCCGGACGGGGTAAACCAAGGACTTTTTTGCTGGCCTTGCCAGCCGCACCCCGGCAACCCCCAACCACTAATGCGCATCCAAGCACCCGATCTCCACTTCCCGGTGCTGTGGTGGGATCCCGCCTGCGGCTAAAAGTCTCGGAATCAGGAAACCATATAACAAGAGTGGTAACACCAATGCCAAAAGAACGAAGCGAACCACGCTCGGGCAGTTGGTTGTAGTACTTGCCTCGACAGCACACAATCATCACGGCCTGACAATTACTGTTACGAATGGCATACCGACCTCTTACCGCCCGTGTCGAAGTGCATTTGGTAGCGGACGCTCCCGGCCGAACTGCACCGAAATGCGCAACACCAAGGGGAACAGCAGTACTGTAAAACCTACACCGACCGAACCGAACCGCAAAACCCCTGGTCAGCGCTTGTCAAAGATGAGGTTCTTTCTAAAGTGCTTCTGGCTTGTCTCGGCCTGCCTCATGACAAGAATAGCCTACTACAGACACACATCTAGTGTCCACCACTCGCCAGTGTGGCTCCGGCCCTGGACCAAGTGCAACGGTGGCCGGAGCCTGGCTTAGACCTGTATCGTCAAAGGGGCTCGAAGGGATGTCTTCGCGCAGGGGAGGGACTTTGTCTAGGGCCTGTTCGAGACAATCGAACTTGCAGAGGATTGGGAAGGTTAATCAGGACCAGGATTTTTCACCCAATCCTCATGGCTAAGGTTACTTGGAGAACAACCAGAAACACAAGTACACTCGAAATTGAATCGCCAGACTCTGGAACTTAAACCATTGCTCCCACTTCTCACTGTAATTCAGCCCTGCTGATTTTTTAAACCCTTTTTGCATCCAGGACTCTCGCGACGGAATTTTAAACCCTCAAACCTTGATCCCCAAAGCCCGAAAGACCTAAAGCCTAACCTTAAACACTTTTTTGCATCTGGTTTGCAGCGACCTTAAACACTAAAATCCTAAACCCTTTGGAAGATCGGAAACCCTATAAACAGAACCTACGTATGACCGAGGCAGCCACTTTCGCATCCGCTCTGCAAGCTCCACATGCGCCTGCTTCGCGCTGTAGTCCTGGCGATGCTTCGGAGGTTTCGGGATCATTTTTTCGAAGTGCAACGTGGCGGTTTGGGGTCTAGAGCTTAATTAGGGCTTGCGGGTTGCGTTTCTGGGTTTCTTTGTGGGCTCCGGGTGAGAGTTGTTACAAAAACAATAACAAACGGAAGCGCCGGAAGCACGAATAGCTGCATGCAGGGCAGGGCTCCTCAGCGTGGGCACCCTTGCCCAAGGACCTGAGGCTGCATGAGAGGTTCGAGTTTTGGACGTAGTTAAATTTATAAAGGTGCCTTAGAAATGCAAATCAGACTGTGAAGTTTGTCGTTGAAGGGCTCTAGACTGTAGCTGTACTAGAGTGCCCTCGGGACACACTCTTGCCAAATTCAGCCTGCTTTCTATTTGGCTGAATCCTCAAAAGCAAAACCTGTGGTACAAAGCCAACAGCTTGTGACCACTCCCCAGGCAAAGTTCTACACCAAAAACATGGAACGATCTGAGCCCTTTTGAAATATCTTGGACCCATGAACCACAGACCCCCGAACGCCGCTGATCAAGGAGCTTCGTGATCACCAAGAGGGACAAGTCAATCTTGTTCTGGAGGAGGTCGGAGACCTTCGTCATGCGTGCAGCACGCGGTAAAGGTTTAGGGTTGACCTTAAACAGAACTCCACCGTCCCTTGCCCTAAAATCTTGACCCTTGAAACGCCCTCCCTTCGTCCCTCCCCGACAGGATGCAGAGCGCTCTAAGGTGTCGGCCGCCTTCTGCACAAGCTCAATGGCCTGGCTACAGTAGCGTACGTGAAGGCTCAGGGCATCAGGAGTAGAGCTTTGAGCTTTTCGCGTGTGCTCTGCTTTAGCTCTGACAGGATTGCGAAAGCCAACCACAAACTGCAGCCTGAGCCCTGAACCAGCCCACCTTGGGAACTGACTTGTCGATCAGGATCGTGCGCAGCGACATGTCCACCAGGTGTCGGGCCAAACCACCTTGCTTCTGGCGGGTATGAGCCTTTAGCGCGTTTAAGGTTGCATAGGCCACCGACTTCAGGGTTGGAACCCATTCAATGCATGATCAAGCTGTTCGGTCATGCAGCATCTAATGCTTCTTTCAGAAATTAGTGTTCCATGCACATTTATGTGACATCGGTATCCGTATTACTTCGCGTCACCAGATCTTTGCTCGCAAGCTGGCTGCTGATCCTACAAAGTCGCAACTGCCGCGAATAGAGTTCCAGAGGAACCATGTCCGACTGTTCAAGAGACGAGAATAGAAGTTGGTTCGGCCAAGCTCATCAGGCAGCGTAGACCTCTTCGAGCCCTGAAGGCTAGAGTTCCAGGCTCTCGTTATATCATGATATATCCTTGTCATTACTACGGCTGCTGCAACCATCACTTCGAAGCCGATGCTGTCGACGGTGAAGACGATATTGGGCCATGAAGACCATTTCTTTCTGTTGCTGCTACTGTTGTTCGCCATGCTGTCTCTTCTAACCTTTACGGTTATGCGACGGCTTCCTCCAAGGGGCAGTTGTCGCGGCGGACGGTCTCGATACCCTTGGCGTCCAGCTTGTCGTACCTGAAATGCTTGCTGAGCTGCGGGTGCAACTTTGAATGTCCGAACCCCGAAAATCCAAGTCACCAAACCTACGTTGGAACCCTTAGCGTGCTCTGAATCAGCAGCCAAGGTGCTTGTCCGGGTTCGTCCAGTAGAGGCCGGCATAGCGCCTCAGCGTCGAGGTCTGCCCAAGACCATCGGTACTGTGTTAGACCACAAGTCTCAGGGATGCGAGACTGATTTTGGCCCACCCGCTTTATTAGCTATGATGCTACGCGCATCTCGACGCAAGTCCCCCAGCTCCCCGAACTTCCATCCATAGACCCTCGCTCCGCGGGATTAGGGCTTTGGGGTTGTGGAGTTGAGGGCATTACTGTCAGCTGCAGAAACCTACGAACTTAGAGGTTAAATGTAAATGACCGTCATGCCGGCTGATGCATAGAAGAAGTTCAAGCCAATGGCAAGTCTATGTCCTCATGGTAATTCTACATAGCAAGGATGTCAGGGGCCAGGGTCGCATCATGTCTTGGGGAGCCGAGGCGTGTGTCCTCAGTAGCGAGTGCAAACGGTCAGAATTTAACGATGAAAAGTCCACCTGGTCCTCAAACCTAACGGCCTTTCGCGGCCGCGAGCCTAAAATATTGGCATGGGTATGGGTCGATGGAAGTCGTCGAACTCAGTGTTTCGAATTGGGGTGCATGTTCGCATCATGCACACCGACACGAGCCTTACATTGCGGCAGCAATGTCAACGCGATTAGGGCACGGGCCTGAGGTCGTGATGTCTCAACGAAAGTCGGCCAGAAACAGCGACAGCATTTTTAGCCCGGAGTGACTGCCAAGCCCTCTCTTGGAGTCCGGGTCTGAGGACGGTATCTACAGTCGTAAACCCTGGCACCCTGAACCCCAAGGCTTACGGTGTATAGGGGCCTTAATAATTGGATCAAGGTTTTTGGCATATACAAGAGCATAGTAGATTGAGGAACTTTAAGGAACAACGTGGGTAACTACTCCGACTACTGTGTTAGGGTTTGAGTCATGAGGAGCTGTCCGAAACCATCGGACTGGCATTTTGGCCCAGATACTTCTTGTTCATGAGCAGGTAGGGGCAGTACACCTTCTCAAACCTGAGCCGAGTTCGGGGTTGAAAGTTAGAGCTAAAGCTGTGCGAAATTGTGGCGATTAGGAGGACGATGGTTGTGACTGGTTGTGTCGCTGCTGCTTGATCATGGTCTGACTGTTTGGTCCTCCTCGCTGTGCCCAACTTTGTCACCCGATTCAGCGTCACCCAAATCAGATCAGCTACCAAACAACCACACTTTCCCACATCTCGAGACCAGGTACGTGATCCATGAACAACAAAGCCATGCAAAGAAACACCATAGAAGGCAACCCTGCCCATGCTTGAGGATCCACGAGATCACCAGTGCATCTTCGAGCTTCGTTATCTACCCGCAAACCTCCAAGCTTGGACACGACGCCCTCCCCTCAGCCGTAACGATTAATTAGAGGGTCTTGGAGTACATCGTGATCTAGATATGCGGGCATGAGAAGAGGGCTCCTACTAGAGTCAGAAGCTCGGAATCGCCTCAGTCTGAACCCTCTGCAGTATACCCTATAAACATCTATAAACCCTACGCCCTTTTCTTACCGAGCCCTAAACCCTAAAAACCTAGACCCTCTTGCCTTGACCCCTAATGCAGCATGCCTTCTACTCTAACAGAAGGGCCAGCTCCGAGGAGCTGGCAAGGGGCTCTATGACAGATACCTGGCTAGGGCCCTGAGCACCAAAGCCCCAAAAAGGCTCGACATCTTAAACGTCGTAAACCTTAAAAACCCTGAAGGATGCACTCTATAAATCCTAAACCCCCCAAAAACCCGAAACACCAAAAGCCAAGTCCGACCGTAACAAGCAGCTCCAATTTGATCGGCTTTGCGAAGGTGGCCGAGACCAGGTCCTCAGGCTCGAACGGCACAAGATGTAGGGCAGGGCTTCGGGGCTTTGGAGCTTGGATTTTATGCCTGTGGGGCTTGAAGGGTGTCGGTGCGTGTTGTTGACAGGTGTGGAGTTTGACAAATCTCAGGGTTTAGTGGGCCTTGTTGGGTCTCGATCAAGCTATTTAGAGACTTTAGGGCATGGCAGCTAGAGCTGAAGTCTAAGACTTAGGCCTTGTTCTGGCATCATTGTATGGCGGGCGCTTTCACCATCCAGGGAATATTAGGCCCTTCCGGAAAGGAGGTTTGTTAAATCAGTAGCCCCTCGCCCACAAACAGTGCGAGGCTTCACCCTACGGTTCACGGTCGGTTGAGAACGAGGCTGATGGGGCCACAGTGTCAAGGACGACTTTCCAGGACTATCAAAACGAAAGATTATTACTATAGCCTCTGACGTCAAATCCTCAACTCTACGCTGCGAGGCCTAAAATGAAAATGCCACGCATCCATAACCCCAAAGAGCAAGCCAGCATGTTTATTAAGATAAAGCTACTACAAGCAACTATGACTAAAACTATCACTATAACTGGAACTATAACTAGCACTATCACTATAACTATGTAAGACTATAACTATATAAAAGAAACAGTTGCTATAAAAAACCAAACCCTGGTATGCGAGCCGAGGCTCGGCCGCCTCCTGCCCCAAGCGCATGGCCTCGGCGACATCGTCGACACCAAACTTCACCATGACCTGGGGTTTAAGGTTTAGTTTGGGTTTAGGAAGCTTAGGGAGATAAAGGCTTTCTGGGATTCCGTAGTGCTTTCATGGGGGCTTACACGGATTCTGTAGTAATTAGGGTAAATTTCCTGTGGGACTTTATTATGGAACATGTCTGTAGGGTCTGATAGGAGACATTGCTATTGTTCAGGCCTCCACATAACGCTTTAGGGCGCAGCCGGCTGCTTTTGGGGTCTGGTTCCCGTTTGTATTCGTCTAGGATCTACTTCTGTTGAGGTTGAGAGACTTAGCCTTAGTGGCTTTAGATTTAGGTTTCGTCTTTGACCCTGAGACCTTGGGTCTCTACTTTGAAAGGCTGAAGCCATGTCACTGCCTTGCTGCTACCAGTAGTATTCCTTCACCAAGCCTGCCCAAAACAGAACTAAGCCTGTTTGAAAGGTTAACCTAGACTGACTACATGTGCCGTTTCAGACATTATAGGCTGCCTAAAGTAGGATCAAGTTCCGGTATACAGGCCCAATATTCTACCGTCAATATACCCCATGCTGGCAGGATAAGGCAGCCATGGCATGATCACCATCGGCCCAAGGGTCGGAGTCTGTGTCTCCGTAGATGACTTCTGCATCATGCGCATAGCCCTTCTCGATGCAGAAATTCTCCTGACGGCTCCCATGGATGCTGTGTAGACCTTTTAAAGGCTTGCATACAAGTTGCACCGAATTTACTACGAACCTGCGCACGATGCAGCAGCGGTGGGCCGACTGTCAGAACGGCACCCACAATGTTGCACTCAGGAGGGTCCTGGAAAGAACCACGATCCTAAGTTAAATCCTGGAGTCCCAAACCCGAAGGTTTGCAAACCCGTACAGCCCAAGTCCACAGATCTCACGAGGCACCCAGACCCCAAGCTCTGAATCCCACCTCATCTCCCCCCAACAAACTCCAGACCCTATGCCCTAAACGCTTCTTGAGCTGAGCCTTGACTCAAACCCTTAACCGCCAGAATCCGAAGCCACGCCTGAACCATCTGCTTGGTATGGTCGATCATCGTCCGCCCAAAAGATGTGACCTGGCCCAGGAAGCTCCCCGGACGCTGACTAGAACGTTTCTCTACCGACCCATTCGGGCGAATTTGGGGGGGGTTATAAAAGGGGGTAGGAATCTAGCACACTGCATGTGGGTTTGTGTGTGCGTTTTTGTCTGTGTCAGTGCGTATGTACGCTTGGTTCTGACAACTGTACGATGTCGGCACATACAGGATACTTGTACAACCTTGTACATGATAATAAATACATAGCTAGCTGGCTGGCTGGCTAGCCGGGCAGCTCGACGGCTGGATGGACGGCTGGATGGATGCTCGTTCCTTCACGTGCACCTACATCTCGCTGTGCATGTTGCAACAAAGTACAACAGCACGGACGTTGTTCGAGTCCAGCACGGACGTGCTATACCTCAACCTGGCTCTCGTGGGTTGGGAGAACTCAAGGGCCCCTTCGACGTGCTGCACGCCTGAAGGCTTCAATGTAAGGGCCCTGGCGGCTCCTGAATAACTTTCAGGCATCTTCTAGTGCAACCGATGGGGATATCACTACTGACTCTTCAGACCTCTATATTACATATATTACCTGAAACGCTTAAGGCCAGCCCCAGAACTTCTGATGAGCGGCGGATGAGGAGATGTCCAGGCACGGCAGCACGCCCACAGTGGCGCCTTCGATGCAGGAAGCTGAGAAACCCCTCTCGCGATGCCGAAAACACGTGATAATCATCATAAGTCTTCCATGGAACTCTGTCGAATGCTTGATGCGGTTAGCTTGCTTACCGGCTCCTTTGCAGGGCATCTTGGGTATTCTAGCATCTCTCGGCTTGAAATGAAACAATGTGCTAGTAGCATGTTTGGCGCTGCCTTTGGGTGTTGGTTTTGGCCAATTATCCCTCCTGATGTCGCGCTGTCGGACATTGGGTACTGTTCGCTTGGAAAGTAGAAGGTGGAAGTTAACACCGTGTGCTGAGAAAAGCCATGAAAAGACTGCCAGAAACTCCCCTCTTCAGAAGATGACGGACTACAAACTCAACAACAGATTCTTGGTGGTATTTTATAACTTGCCTTTGCCTATAGCCGCAGCAGGACTAACAGACAGCATTTACGTCATGGACACTGTCTGGGGCCTACATGGAAAATGCAGGAAACTCAAGGACGATCTAGTAAGAAGAGCATGCATGCAGAAGTCGAAACACACCCTTACGCAGCCTTCGAAGGCGTCGAAACCCTAAAAATCCCTTTAAAGACCCTTGACTAACGCTGTAAGCCTCAGGCTAAAACCCATGACTTTCCTGCCTGTGAAGCCGTAGACTGAGTTTGCCGAGATCTTGAGCGCCAGCCTGGCTAAAAACAGTTTGCATGTCTTCTGGTAGCTTTCATGAGTATTTCGCAGGGTCTTTAGAAGGCTTCTGGTCGTTTGTGTACAGCGTTTGATGAGGTCCTTATCAGGCATGCCCGTGAGCCTTAAGCTGTGCCACCCCAAGGCAGACCCTGGACTGAGGGCCCCGGCCCAATCTCGTAAGGACCCTAATCTTGGCATATTTGAAACACCCTGCCTGCCCATCGATATAAGTAATGAGGGCAGTCAGCAGAGGCCCACATTACCATTTGTTCTCTATCTTTCCGCTCACCCAGCCAATTCGACGGGAGTCACGGGTCATTAGGCCCAGCCGTTAAACACCAGAAGATACGAACACCACCGACCAAAATTGTGAGGGCATTCATGTGCGCAGAGCAAAACCTCAATTGTTCGAGCCCTCTCCCGGAAGGCACCCCTTCAATGCTAAGCTTCATGAGCTCGTTGAAAACAACATCGCAAGACTTTATGTAACGCCGCGTGACAAAGCCCTGGTCCTGGAGAGGCCCGAAAGAAGGTGTCCCAGCATCGTCCCTGAATTCTTGGGAGGGGAGGGTCTAAAACACGACCCTGCAACCAAAAGGCCGTACTCTGCAAACCCCGATCTCCTCAATAAACCCTGAATATCCGAAGGTCGCCTCAACCACGCACGACCCCTACACAAGCCCACACAAAGTCAAGAACTTCAACCCCCCATAAACAAGTCTCTTTAGTTGAAGTATCCTAAAGTCGCGACGGTCTGAGCTCGGTGCTGTCGGCCGTTGAGCACGGATTTCGTGAGGGGATCGGTGGCTTCCGCCATCGCCTCGCGCGCTTTCTTTAGGGCGGTTTTTTGGCCACAGCTACAATAAATGTGGTGTTATACGATTTTTACAGGATTTACAATTGGTTGAGAATTATAAGAGATCCGAAGTGTTTTATCGGGGGATTGCATGGGTTCTATGGGCCTTAGTCCGCGTCATGGATCTGTAAGGGGGTGTTTTGAAAGCTTTTTCTGAAGGTGTCATCAGGTCTCAGGGTTCAAGGTTAAGCTGTTTAGCTGGGCATAGGGTAGGGGGTTTCGCTTTGGAGGTTGGGGATTTGCAAGGACTCTGGGTTCCATTCGGTTTGGGCCCGATCTAATATCCAAACAACACGGGTCTCCCCTCACACTCCAAAATTTACAAGGGCAATTCGTCGACTTAATTAATTATCGTTGATCAGCCACGTCATCAGAAGACAAGAACGTTCTGCCACAAGATTCATCGACACCAATTTGGAAATGGGAATCAGGAAGAAGCCTTGCAGCTGATCGTCCCCATGCAAGATGCAGGCGACCAGCAAGTCGAAATCGTCCTCAGCATAAGCCAGTTGTGCAAGCGAGCCTCCGCGCGTGGATAAGTTTATCTGGTACCTGCTGCTTGCTCTGTCCAAGTGTGATTTCTTCTCTTGCAGGCGCACCACCAGACCCCCAACACCAATCTCAAGAAAGGAGGAGACAGTCGTCCGATGTTCATGTGGAGACGTCAATCTGTAGTTCAGGCAACGAAACTTCGCAGCTGCCGATCTCGCTTCAAAGGCCTATGAAGCGGGGATCGCTGACGCTCTGCCTCTTCGTGCGGAAACTCCTGCCTGTCTTTGAAGCAAGCGACCAAAGCGATGCTGCGTCTTTAAGTGGGCGACTAGTATCACTTTTACATCCGATGGTTATGTATACGCTATCCGTCTTCAATTGCTCGCCGGCAGCCGCCCGGAAGTGGCCCCCAAGCGCGACAGAAATCACCAGCATGCCGTCGTACCCCAACAAATGCCGAAAGTAGTACGTCCTTCCTTGCCTCCAACGACTTGTTGCTGCCTTGAGCTGAACTGGACAACCAAGTTGTGACGAACCGCACGGCTTGAATAGAGCATCTGTTTTGGAAGACCTCGTCAAGCGCACGAGCTCGTACTTATCTGAACTAGATGATGCATCGCAGGCTGCTTTCAACAGATCGAAGGACCTGGCCTCCTTCCGGAAATTTGCACCACCTCGCTTAAGCCCACGCTTGCGTGCCTTTCGATGTAGGAAGCTTCCTCCTCCGAAGGAAAGTGTTAAAAGGTTTTGCGCCGGAACTTGTGATCTGGAGTCGCATCTAGCTAGATGTGTCTCACCTCTTGATCGTAAGCCTCTGCGGCCTGCGTGGCGCTTTGAAAAGACCGATGTGTCATGGGCCATCCAGAACACGAAGTCTCGCTTTGAAGGGTTTGCTTGTCAAAGCACACGCCGCGATACTTCGCGATACTTGGCCGCCTCGGCTCATGCTGCAGCTTCGTCGTCAAGCACATGGGCAGGACCCTTCAAAAGCCTGGTAAGCACCGAACAGCGAAGCACCGCACATGCCAACACAAGCACAACTCTTCTCATGGCAAATGATTTGCAACGTGTCCGTCTCGGCAGTGGCTACGGGACCGTACTGCGCTACGCTAGCTTCCACCTCCACAAGCTTGAGCAGGAGGCCAAGACCGTGCAGAGAAGCACAAAATGTCCCGAACAGTCTGGCACCCAATGGGACTACGTAGTCATCTCGTGCGCGGAAGCCCTTTGACTCATTTTGACTCTGAGCCCTTCACTTTGCGGGCTGCCTCAACGATAAGCGCAGAAATGCAGAAACACCAAAACTAAAACTTCCCAAAGATGAGCTCCAACACAATAAGCTGCAGGGCTTCTAGTCATTTCCCCGTCGTTCGACACACCGCCCCGGAGACATGATGTAGATAATAGATGTAGAAGAGGGGCAGGATGCAAAAGACTTGGGAAGGCTCCTAGGTGGAATTTGATAGCTCTTGCCACATTCGGCCACCCACACCAAGACAGCAAATAGCTGAGTTCGGGGTTTGGGATCCAGGGGCTCTCACCACGTCTTGCTGTGTTTTGCAGTGAGAAACCTGATTCCTCAACCCAAAATTCGGGGTCATTCGCATCTCCGGGCCTTCTTCGCGCGCTTTCGCGCTGCCAGAAGCTCCTTCGAGGGTTGTTACAAAGGTTTGTAGGAATAGGACAGCTAACTATTTTGTGCACACTCGTCGCGATTCTTATTGTCTGGCGATCATCCTGACATTGTATCAATACTTGGCCGCATTGTTATCATGACCATAGCTCAAGGACACGCCGACGGCAAGTTAAATCGAGCAGTGGAACTACAGTAACTACAGTGAGCCCAGGCAGCGCCGGTGTCTGAAATTAGCCTGTCACGGAACTCAATAGGTAAGCATCAACCTGTCTGTTCTATGTTGACCTGGAATGCTGCTGTTTATGCTCAGACCTAGAAATTAACAAGCAACTACTTGTGGTTTGTATTTGCTGATATTATGCGCACACGAGAAATGATGACAACAAAGGGCGCATGTTCACAAGATAGAAATAGTAGGTTGGCTGCGCATGCGCGTGTCGGGTTTGGTTCTGGCCACGGGCAACTATTGCTCATCATTACATAGATGCCATATTTCTCACATGCCACAAACCCTAAACCTTGCCTTGAAACCCAAACCACGCCAAACCGTTTCAAATCTTAACCTGGTCGACACGAAGACGCCCTAAAGTTCCAAAGTAGTCTCAGAAACAGCACTGCGCTTCAGCACACTCCGTCCAAGCCTTCGATGCTCTCCTTCAGCCCTGCCTGCCTCTAGCTTAGGCTTGGGCTCTAATTTGTAAGCCACCGTTTTGTTTGCCAACTTCCCTAGTGAGCCTCCAAAATCATCGGAAGGAGCCCTCTTCGGCGAGAGCTCTTCAGGAAGTAGCCTGGTGAAGTTCACGCTTCACTTCGCGTGTCTCCCGACTTAATTTTTGAAGGTGTTGTCAGGGTTCTGTGTGGGCTTGACAAAAGAAGGGTCTTAGCACTGGTCAGTGTAGCTCACCAACAAGCACCTAGTGCGCCACGAACCCTAAGGTGGTTGCCCTGAGCCTGGGCGGCATCAGCAGGATCACAAGGGACCCTGCTACTCGAAATCTCACCCTTCTGCTCCGGCAGAACCCGTACAACAGAAACACAGAGAGACTGTTGCATATGTGTATGCGTGCTTACATCCTTGTCATATGTCTTTCTGTGCTTTTGATTTTGGCTTGTCTTGGTCAAGGAGTTTCGGCGCTGGCCCTTTCCGCCAACTTTGTGGGCTTTGGCCGCTTTGGCCCTGTTTCCTGGGCTGTTACTCCAAAAGAGCCTGTTTTGGCAAGGTCAGCTTTAGGGTTTGGTGTTTGACTACGGTTTACCACTTTAATGCCCAGGCATCCGCCGAAGCAGAAGACTTCAATAACCGTGCTGCAAAGCTGGCAACCAACCTCCTGGCTGCAAGTCCAGGTCCCTCGTTGAGGCGCTACATCTCGGAACCGGAACCCACCTGATCTGCAGCTGGGCGTCAGCCGTTGGGGGTCTTGGTATACTCCTCCGACTGAAGATCTCGGACCTCGCGTGTCTCCGGGGCACTATAGTTCTGAAAAAGCTAAGGAAAGGCGAAAGGGATCCAACACCCTGAGGACCAAAGGGCCCTAATGCCCTCAGCCGGATCTAAGGCTGAAAGGAAGGGAGCTTGAAGGGTGTAGGTCTGGCCATCAAGCGGGTGGAAGCGGAGCGTAGCTGTTGAAAAAAACTTAGAACTCTTTCGATCAGTTTGCTTCGCTGAAGTACAACTTGCCGACGCTAAAACACTTCTTTGGTTTGTTGGTTTCTTTGGCTCATCCCCATCAAGAGCCTTTAACGGTAGGGCCGTCATCTTCTCCTGAAATGGAGCGTCAATCATCATACTCAGAGGTACATATTTCGGCTCGCACCTACCATAATTCAATTTGCACGCATGTGTGTGTGTGTGTCTGTACCTTCAGTACATTCGTTCATCACGGTGCGCTCACAAGGAACAAGCTCGAAGCAGCAGGTCTGCCCTGATACGAGAGAAACCCGAAATCCACCATTCTAGCAAGCACCGCCAAAACAAAAAAGAAACACACCAAGACATCATATCCTAAGCTGTAAAACCCGCAAACATTAGTTAATGAGCCCTAGGCAAGCAAACCATGAATACCAAACCCGGTAATGCCTTAAACCAGTAGGCACCCCGCCTGCTCAGGCTTCAGGAGCGTGCAATAGCAAAGGTTGTGCGCCATCATGATTGAAGGATACCTGAAAGGTTTAAGCCTTTGGGGTTTAGGTAGGTTGAAGAGGTCAATGGGGTTGATTTGAGGTTTGAGGCCAGCTATGTGGGCCGCTGTTGGTCCAAGGGACCAACATGGGATTTCGGGTTCAGGGTGCTGTCTGCTGGCGTTTGCCCTGTTTTAGGTGGTCCTGCTTTTGGTCCTTTTGGTTTCCGGAATGCCGGTAAGGCCAATGTAAGGTCAGGTCCAGTCCGAACCCCATATTTCTTCGTTGTGACTCGAGTTCGAAGCTGGACTGAGGTGCCGGCCAGCGCCTGTGCAACTCTCACCCCCTCTGAAGGCAAGAGAAGCCAAGACCCGGTGTTCGGATTCAAATCTTAGGCCCAGAGAGATGCCGATAACACTGTCTGATAAAGGATGCCGGCTTAGATATGGACCCTAACAGCCCAAAACCTACTCCCCTAAGCCCGAAGAATAAGCCCCTAACCCGAAACCCTCAGCCCTTAACTACGAAGGGATCCCGGCTTCACAAGCCTCAACGCACCTCAGCACAGAAGTCTGAGCTCTCACTTTGAGCCAAGGCCGCAGGGACGCGAAGTCCAGGGTCGCGATGGGCTGGGGGTAGAATCCTGTCGACGTACTTCGGGTTCAGCGTCATTATACCATCATGGCAAGGGTGACGGGCCATCATGGTAGTACGGCAGATGTTGTTGGCCAGGGTCCTGACTAGGTCCTAGGGCCTGCGGCGGGGGCGATGGGGGCCCATGGGGAGGGTGATCAGGCTTGCAATTTATGACATGACCTCCCTTTGAACCCATGCCTGAGAAACCCTTGAGTTGTGTGAGAACTGACGGAGTCTGGCCTGCGGATTCCGTTCTGAACACCGGAAATCCCTCAACCGACGCCCGAAAACGAAAATCTCCCTTCGATGCCTGTGCGTGGCTCCAGCACCGTGGCACCGTCAAACTTGCCATCGGCAGCCTCCGTTTTCCTGGATTGCGCACCATTGCAAAGGGGTCCACATGCTTCCAGGGAGTAGGACAGACCTCTTTTTCACCGATGTTTGTGATTGCGGTCCTTTAGTTGAGGGTTCGGGTTATAGCCTCTAGACTCGAGGGCATGGGTTTTACGGTCAGAGGACCTTCCTGCTGGCTTTGAAGACTGAGGCTGTCAGATTTTGACACTTGGGATGAGGATGGTTTGCTGGTACGGTACTACTAGCAGCAACCGCGAAAAAGTCCGTTAACCCTAATGCCCTTACAAAAACAAGGCCCCTAGAGCGCCAAAGCAGACCGCACAACGCACCTCAAGCCCCAAACTGAAGCCTGGCCTTCGAACCCCATCGCGACACCCCGGAGAGAAATTAGGAACCCAAAGAAAACAAAACGCAGGCAGCAAAACCCCAGAACTGAAGGCAGGGCATTTCCGCCGCAAAATCTCACCCGAACCTCCGAATCACCCGAAAACTCTCCCGGCATGGTTTAGGGTTTATGGGGTCAAGCCATTTTCGGGCTTCAAGTGCTAGCGGCTAGCAGGACTCAGTCTAGGGACCGAACTCGAAACGCCTAAAACAAAACCCTTAGCCCTAAAACCCCTCAACCTCAGGGCACTGCAGAATGTTCTGAAGAAGCACTGAACATGGACCATTACAAACCTGAAAACTACGCAGCTGAATCCTCAATCTTGCATCCCCTCGGTCTTGCATCTTGCATGGATCGTTTGCCGAGTTCCGGAATCTTGCTTTGTGGGGCCTGATGCGTCTCCATCGTGTAATCATGTGTTCTCTGACTCATCAACCTTCATACTCGGTCCCCCTGATGCTATCCGAACTCGATACTCTAGACCCCCCAAACCTGCACTGCATATCCTATTATCCGAATCCGCTTCAGCAAGGCATCTGAGTCGGCATCACGAAGCCACACTGCCCCGCCTTGCGAAGGAGTTGCGACCTTGGGCTGCGCTGCAGCGTTCAGAGGCTTTGGGGTTTTGTGCTTCTTTTCACTCCCACCTTATTTCCAAGGACAATGCAGGCGTTTAGGGTTTAGGATCTTTGTGCTTTAGGGCGTTTGCCTCTCTCCTGGCTAGGACTAGGCCCCAATGTGCGGTGAAGCTGTTCACGATTTAGAGCTTCGAGTTCTCTTTGTGAACGACCCTACTCTCTCCCAGGCTCGAGAAAGAGGAGTCCCGCTCTAAGGTTTCAAGGCAAAGGGAACTAATGGCTTGGAAGTGGCATTTCCATTCCAGCGTCAGAGTACCTCTTCACAAGTGTGAAGGGAAATTCCAGCTCAGCGCGAAGGCCCGAAGACAAAATTGTCTGCCTGTGAAAACCTATGGCACCGTATTCTCTCCATGGCCCCTAGCACAAGCCTGGCCCCGACTCCCAACCCGATCTCTCACTCAGATTCGGCCAGAAATCTGGACTTTGATCATCTGCCCCCGGTTCAGCAGGAAGTTGATCGGCGTGCCCGTCACGCGTGCCATCTCGACGTAGTTGTACCTGAGCGGCTGGGAGTCTTGATATGGCTGAAGGACTGAAGGCCGAATGCTCTAGCACGGTTTTGCAGATCATGAATATGAACCCTGAGCCCTGAATCTCTAATTGCCTGAAACGCTGAACAACCCGAACCCTAGACCGTTCACTTTAGGCGACCTACAGGCTAATTATTCCTAATGGCATGTAAGAGCTTCAGAAAGCAGCGAATCCGAATCAACACCGGGCCCTTATCCGGACCCTTATCCGAAACTTCTTGGTGCTACATCGCCAGAGTTAACCTGAAGCTGGCGCAGGAGAAACGTGCCCAGGGACATGCATAGGAGCTTGTCCATAAGGCGCATGGGCAAATATGCATCCTCGACCAGGTTTAAGCGAGCTGAGTCTTCTCCGACGACCACTAGCAAAAACTAGAATAACAACAATACCGTTACTATCGAAAGCATTGGTAGCAATACTCAGTATCATCATCGTCGCTATCAATCATCATCATCATCATCATCATCATCGTCATACGAAGACGACGAAAACCCACAACCAGCACCGCAACGACCACGATCACTCTACCACGCGCGCCGTTCATGACCGTGCTCTTTGTCATTCTATTCGTGCTGTTTCTTAGTCGAGGCTGACTTCTCACCAGTGGCCGACTGCTCCACGTGCACAGCAACTGCTTCCTTTGACTGTCCATCCTACGGATTGCAGATCAAACTTCTACTCGAGTGCATCAACATGCATCATGTATAATTTATTTGGTCTTGCATTCGCGGCTTCCGCTAGAATCTTGGCAGACCCCGGAACCGAACATGCGGTTCTCGTGTCTGGAGCTTTAGAGAGGTTTCGGGAGTGCTTTCTCCACCCGTACACATGCATCGTCAGCACCTTTGCAGGGGTTCGGATGCATGATTACAGGAAGTACTAGAGAAGGTAGGGGCATGCTGAGTGTCATGAGAATGCTAGCTACGTCACAGAGCATCTTTATCAGGACAAGTCCGAAGCCCGACACCGTCCTTCAAGCAGTAGACGGCCAGACGTCGTCGGCTTTCAGCGCTGCCCAGGAAGAGGTCGCCGATCATGCTGTGGTGCACATCCTGCTTGGGACGAGGCTGTCGACTCCCACACTCCCCCCCGCGGCACGGCTCACAAGGTTTCCACGATTGTGTTTTAGGGTTTGAGATCTAGCGTTTGGGGTTTCAGCAACAAGGTTTAGGGGAATTGGGGGTTTAGGCCTCAAGATTCAAGCTTGAATTCTTTCTCTCAACTCAGTATAACCAGTGCAAGAAAGCCTCCCGGTACAACGGGGCCACATTGTGCCAAACAAAACTGACATCATGCACCACGGCAAGAGAACAGCGACATCATTGGATCCAATTTCTGTTCGCCAGACCTGAGCATCGCAGGACAAGTCAACTCCCTGGACAGTTGGGCCGCCACAGCCTCAGGACGCACCACAAAGCCTCGGGAGCCCAAAGTCGGCAGGAAACGGCCGAGTATTGACAGGAGTCCATCATACTGCCAGGCTGGGCAACTTGCTCCTCAACCCTAAAGCCTTAGAGCCAACAACCCTTCAAGCCTCAAACCCTAGGCATAAGTCGTTGTTGCTGGGTTTGCACATGTGCACTCGCACAGCCCTTCAGCCCTATAACCCCATGGTTTAGGGCTTAAGGAACTCTAACCTGCTGGATTCCTCCTTCTGCTCTCCCAAGAACTCGGCTGAGACGGCATTCAGTGAGTAAGAGCTCAGCTTCTGCTCCTGCTCACAAGCATGTGGCCAAACAACCCTAGCATCATCAAGAATATATGACATGTTTGTACACACATACCTATACCTACCTACCTACCTACCTACCTACCTACCTACCTACCTACATACATACATACATACATACATACATATATATATATATAGATATACTCGGCTATGTACACATAGGTGTGTATATATATATGTATATATACAGGGTGGTAGATAGATAGATGGATAGATAGATAGATAGATAGGTAGGTAGATAGATAGATAGATAGACAGATAGATAGATAGATAGTTAGATAGATAGGTACATAGATAGACGGATAGACAGACAGATAGATAGTTAGATAGTTAGATAGATCGATAGATAGATCGATAGGTAGGTTAGGTAGATTCATAGAGAGATGGACAGACAGCCAGCCAGCCAGGCACCCAGGCAGACAAACAGAGAGATTAGATAAATGGAAACATAGGTGGCTGCATCGATCGGTAAATAGATCGATAGAAAGCTGGGTAGGTAGAGAGACAAAGAGGCAGAGAGGTTAGATAGCTAGATATAGATATACATGCAGATACTTATGTGTATGTTTTTGACAGGACGCACATCAAACACCGTTTGCATCACATGCATGTTGTATTTAACGGTTTGCGATACAGATGGACTCGACATGCATATGTACAGAGAAGTGCGCAAATGTGTGTATGTATGTGCGTGTGTGTGTGTGTGTGCATGTTGTGTATATATATATATATATACACATGCAAAAAAGTGTGTGTTTACGCATGCATGCATGTATGGAAAGTAACTCGGATGTATGTGTTTGTATGTACGTATGTATGTATGTGTATGTAAAAATGAATAAGTGAAGGAATGGATGAATGGATGAATGTGCACTTGTGCGTGTATGTATGTATGTATGTATGTATGTATGTATGTATGTATGCATGGATGTGTGCATGTTGCTGTTGCCTGCATGCATGCTTGTGTGTAAGCATGCATGCCGTTGCACCCATGCATACATGCATCATACCATCTACGCATAGCGACCGCAGACAAATTTGTCACATAATTCACCAACATGCAAGATTTCTGTTCGGAGATGTGCAATCAGGAAGGCACGTCTCTGGACCTCTCAGGCTGAGTGCACAGTCAGCCCAGCTTGCTGGGGACTGGAGATCTCGAATCATCTATGGCATCTATGGAATCTGCAGTTTGAAAAACTCCCAGATGATCCTGCGCTAAAGTCTTAGCACACCATTGTCCCAAGCACTCCCTACAGCTTGAACCTCAAATTTAAACGGCCCGCCCAAATCATGCCCTAGATCCTGAAGATTAGAACGATTGAGGGCTTAGTCTGGCGTCGTAATCCTAGTTTGGACTCTACCCAAAACTACGAAGCTTAACCGACAGTCTATATTGGAACCGTCTACAGAGTCTATATTGGAACCGTGCACAAAGTAGGTTGCAGTAAGACTGCCCTCCCCACAGTAAATATCCCCACACCATAATGTTCTATCCGCTGCTTGCGGCAACGTCAAGGCTCGAGCCTTCTGGATGACCGTCAGCATATCGAAACTGATCCTGGCTGTGGCCCCAACCAACACATGGCACGACAGGACGTCGGAGTCTTCAGGTGGACTCTTGGGTCAGGGCTGATCAGCTATGTAGAAGTGCAGCTCCGCCACAATCAGGAGCGCTGTTCGTGCCATTGCTGTCTTGTGTGTGTTTCTGTAAAGATTTGCATGTCTATGCGCATGAAAAATCCTGTGCCAATGTGCCTTAAAATCAGGCATGCACGTATGTGCGTGTGTATGTATGTATGTATGTATGTATGTATGTATGTATGTATGTATGTGCCTGTATCTAAGTGTAGGTACGCATGTATGCTTGCATGTATGCATGTATATATATATATATATACGTGTGTGTGTGTGTGTGTGTTTGTTTCCTGTATGTGTACAAATGCGTATGTATGTGTGTATGTGTATATACATATATACGATCTTGTTTATGGTTATGTTTAGGCATGTGCGCCTTGTATTATGTTTTCGGTGGTATGTTACATGTTGTATGGCTTTGATGTGCGTCTAATGCTATATGCAACAAGTTTGTTGTTTTTGGCAATAGATGCGGAAATGTATACACACATACATGCATAACCTGCATGTGCGTGTGTGTTACCGTGTGTTTACATATGTACACATATATATATATATATGTACACAAGTATGCAAATAGATACATATGTGCCTGTGTCTACGTAAAGTACCAGAACCTGTTAGCTACCTATTGATTAGCTTCTCTGCCGGGGTCGATCATTTTCTGAAACTGCAATGTACGCACAGGGAACGAAAACAAACTGAGTATGCTCTCGTTCTCTCTTTCTCTCGCTCTCGACATATACATATATATACACATAATAACACATGTATATATATATATATGTATATATTTATATATATATATATGTGTGTGTGTGTGTCTGTGCGCATGTATGTGTAACCAGAAACCATGGCAAAGGTACACAAATATTAGTAAGTACCAGAAGGCACCAGGAGCCTTGAAGATGAGAGAGCCTGGGCTACACGCCACACGCGCCTTTCTCAACGATGCGATGGATGGGTCTAGTGATGTGTCTTAACCGGATCGGAAAATGCAAAGTTCATTCTGAAGGCTGCTCTGCATTGCTGCGCGAGCAGCCAGATCCGTTCTTCCGTGCATTAGCAGGTTTCCTGCTCTGAGGAAGCAAATTTTTAAAATTCTGAGGGAGCAACTCTGTGTAGCTGTCCTCATTTTGAGAGCATCACGATCGCCATGACGAGCACCGCAACAATGCTAAGAGCAATGGCCGCATGTTCCTTCATGTGGGTGAAGACTTCCTCTGCGTAAGGCGTGACCAGCATGCCAAACATCAATGCAATGCCCATGATGCAAGAGCCGATTCCTGTAGATCGCGCATAGTTGATGGGCCTGAAGTAGATGTTGAAAGGCAGCTTTCTTTCTGGTAGCTGCAGTGTGTACCCTCGCCATTCATTGCAAGGAGATGAAATGATGCAAGATACCCAGATCGTTAGGCCAAAGACCATGGCCTTGTGGGTGAAGGTGACCGGGGCGATGGTGTCCTGCAGCCAGTCTCCGGACATTCCACGTGCCCAGCCGTACATAATGTCGCGGGCGACCGTTGGAATGTAAGCCTGGTACAGCAGCGATGTCTTGATCTCCCAACCCATGCTCTTGCGGAAACGGTAGTTGGTCACCGGAAGCATGATGGTACAGAACAGCCAACCACTGATCAGGCCACTGACTCCCGGCGACAAGTCTGTGAAAGTCATGGCCCTGTTGATCACCTCAAAGACCGGAAACTTCAGCATATTCCTGGGTTCGTGAAGGAACTTACTCAGCATAAACTACCATACTTCAATAAAGCAAGCCTGTTCTTTTGGGTAAAACCTTCTTCGCGGCAGGTCCGTAACCTGCAAACTCTAATGCGAGTTCCTGACAGCACAAGAACCTGAAAATTCTTAGAACCCCGAAGAAGCCTCCTAAAACCCTTGAAAGCCCTCGATAAAACCTTGAGCTTTTTCACCTGTGCAACAAACGTATAATGCAGTATAACATCTGTACTAAAATATACCGTGTAATAATAGCATAGCGCGCTATACAAAATACCATGAGATACCCAAGTTCGTCGGGAAGGTGGTGAAGAAGTAAGTGGCAACGAGGCTGAGGGTCATCTCCTCCCAGGCCTGGGGTTTTAGGGTTTCGACATGCGCACTCGCACTGGACAGGCACGGGTTGGGCGTAGGGTTGACACTTCTTTGGGGGATTACGGCCATTAGGGTTCAGGAAATATGGGGTTCAAGGCTTAAGGATTGCTTTGGGGGATTTTTGGGTTTAGGGTCATCTCATCCCAGGCCTCGGAGACCGTCATGCGCTTCACCAGCAGGCGGTTCACAAGCGGCTCACACCTCAGAGCACAGCAATATAGGAGTAGCGCGACGATAAGGAGACTGTAAGGGATAGTCTTGCGAATTATTCAGACTCCAGTAGGGATTCAGATCCCAACCCGAAAATTTCTGTGCCCTGGGATGTCGAGGCGTATGAGTGTGTGTACATATGTGTGTGTATGCCTGTATATACATATATATATATATATATACAAAGACGCCCAGAGAGCGAGAGAGAGATAGAGAGACAGCGAACAGGACAGGAAAGGACAGGACCAAAACCACGACCAGGGCCAGGACAGGACTTGACAGGACAGGACAGGACAGGAAGACCAGAACAGAGCAGAACAGACGGCAGCATGGAACGATAGCCCGTTTTCGTTTATGTATGTAATGGTTCGTTTGTTACTGAAGTTAATACTTGACTAGACGAACAAATGGACAGCTCGACTGGTACTTGAAACATCTTAGTCTTGAAACGTAGCCCGAACCACCTTCTGGTTCCTGCATGTTCCTGCGATACAGTCCCATGTCGGAGGGTCGATAACTCTGTAACCCTGATTACTGAGTAGGATACTTACTACAAACGCTCGAAGTAGGGTGCACGGTTCTCTGAAGCTCCCACATGGCGGAAAGGACAGCAGCCACAAGGGCGGCTGTGCAACCCTGCGCGGCGGCAGCGAAGACCTGGGAATTGCGTCAACTGGAGCTGCGGCTTAGGGGAAACATTCCCGAGCCTCTTATGCATAACCATGATCCAGCAAATGCCCAACTCTCTCTCTCAACGACTCACGGGGGGGCAGTGTGAGTTTCGTTTCCCACCTTGGTGAAGAAGCCGGCGTCCTCGTGCTGCGGGAGCTCGACCTGAGTTCTTGATAAGGAACCTGTTTTAAAACAATAAGAAAAGCAAATCATATTGGTAGTTCTATACTCCGATTATGGTACCACAAAGTCCTTGCTATACCCCCGTCATGCTAGCTTAACGAGACGTTCCTTAACAAGAACCCAGGCGACGTTCTGGGGAGGATCTTCGGCGATGACCAGCGCCAAGTCGTGCGGCAGTGTGCTGGACACCCAGAGGTCCACTAGCCAACAAGCCTAGGTTCCCCAGTAGAATTTAATCACCAAAGGTCACCAGCAAAATAGTAATTGTAGTAATAACAGTATGAGTAATAAATATTGGTTCTAATTTTGATATAATCACAACCGTCATGTTAACAATGATATCAAAACGAAAGGCCTAAAACAAAACTGCTAATGATACTAAGAACTCATGACAAGAACCATAGCAGGGTACCCTCTTTTCCAGTTTCCAGTCGGCCCAAGTGTACTCTTAATCATGAGGGTAACCCTTGTTCTTAGAAGTTCAGTCTCAATCAAGAGACCCGGCAAAACATCCAAAGGCACAAGAGTTCTGCTTACAGAACCCCTATACACATGCTTAAAGGAAAAAGGGTGCTGCTTGGGGAAGCCAGAAGCGGCGGCGAAGAGGAGCAGGGGTCCAAAGCCGTTGGAGCGACGGGCAGCCATGGGGAAGATCTGGTAAGGCGCTGCGCGATGTCTGTTTCGAAGTTCGGAGGCCAAATGGCTACGGTTCAAGATTGGCTTCAAATCGACTAAGGCGGGCAAGGTCTTAGGGTTTAGGGTTCACGCCCCGCAATCGGGGTTGACGGTCTAGGGTTGGGGCTGCAAAAGGCTTAGGGTCTAGGGATTCTCAAAGAAACCCGCCCCCCGCCACCGGACTCCGCACGCGCATTGCTGCAACATGGCACCAACAAACGACAAGAATGAAAAACCAAGCTGGCAACTCTGAAACCCAAGAGACAGGGCCTGCCGTCGATATTGATCTCGATAGTTTCGCGCCCACTGAAATTGTTGATGCGCTTTCGGCCTCGTGTTGAATGTTTGCTTCGTCGGCGGTTTTACGTGAGGCTGCTTTCCCACTGGCGAGGTGCGGCTTAGGGTCTTAGGGCTTCGGGCATCGGGAACCCTAAACCTTACTTAACCCCACAAAGTTGGTTGCAAGTGTTGGTGCTTGAGATGCGTCCGGGACTCCTCCAAGTTCAGATCCCACGAACTGGGTTTTGGGCCAACTACATCTGAGACCGGAGGCCCAAAAGAACGACTCTCATTGCTCTGTGACTCACAAGATAAAAATGAACGGATCTCAGGACAAGTTAAAAAATCACTACCGAAAAAGTCGACCTACCGTCCCTCAACACTAAAGACTAGAGGTTGGCGTTTGGACTGACAAAGCCGGTCTAGTCATACGACTCAGAAACCAAGTCTACCTCTCTGCTACCGGGGTCAACCCGAAGCACTACACAGGATCCTAACAAGCACCTAAACACAGACTATAGGACTATAGAATCGCAACGAGACAGTGGGACATGTTTTACGATGTTTGACTGTGTTCTCTTTTGGGCCTTAGCTGTAACGCTCCAAGTCGTGGGGCCAAGCAACAGCTAGAAGAGCCGTAGCCCCTCCGGTGAACAACGGTTCTTGCACTTACGGTGTGGGGAGTTAAAGGTAGAGCGTGAAGCAGACAACCTACATCTTGATGCTAACCCTGATAAACAGTGAGATGGACAGTTAGGGTGTGCGTTTAGCTTCCAACTTCCAAGGTGCGAAGTCTTGCGGCTGAGCGGCAGCGGTCGCCAGCAAGGCGCCCAAGTTTGCAGAAGTCGAAGCTGATCCCCTTCCTCGTTGACTTGCTGGCGAGACACGCAGAAACTGGAACTCTCAATTCAAAAGCGCAGTTCGGCTAGAACAGCGAACTGCCATGCCATTACTACCAAAACTAATAAAAGGGTTGGAATACTTGGAATGGGGCTGGGCACTTGACATTATAGCTATACTGAGCAAACCTCTTTTTAACAAGGGGCTCGACTGCTGCACTTACTGCCCAGCTCGACAAGCAACACAGTACTCATGATGCAACCCTAGCTTTGGTAATTATGCGCAGATGTAAAGTGAGCGACATATGACAGCAGAACCGGCTGCCAACACGGGAGCCGCGGTCATGTTAAAACGGCTCGCAAGGGGAGCAGAAATTTCGAACATTAAATAACAGCGGGCCCAGCATGAAAAGCCCAATATGAAGAACCCTCCAAAAAGGACAAAGGGTCGTTTCTGCGCGATCCAGCAGATACGGCCTGAGTCTTGACAAACTGAGAGAGGGGAGCTACATGATTGGCGGGTTCAGGGCTTCGTGAAGCCTCAAGCCTCAAGACCCTTTTTGCTGCAGGCTTGCAAGCAACAACGCCTGGTAGTGAGCCACTCCTCCGCCAGCTAGCACTGTAGTCGTGACAGTGCTTCCAGCCTCAAGATCCTAAATCCTCAACCCTACACCCTGAAACCTGAAACCCTAAGGTACAGTCGTGAAAGCTGCTGGCTTTCCTTATCCACCAAGGAATGGAGGCAAGTAAGCTATGCTGACTCTGAGCGAAAATACCAAAAACAAACAATTGCGCTAGACCCCTACTGGAGGAGCCTCGGGATTCATGGCGATGAAAGCTTGGGGCTTGGGGCTGGGGACTTTATCTCCCCATCAGAGTCTGATGTTTTGCAGCTTCGGCCTCAGAGTCTGAGAGAACAAAATCTGCACGACTCGAGACTGCCCTTCGCAGAGAAGACTCCGCACAGCCCAACAAAACCGGCGAATTCTAGCTGTGCAGCTAAGTTTCGATTATCTCCCAGGCGTGTACCCAGAGAAATCAGCAACTTCAAATACAACTGACAGTGTACTAGTGTATGCCGCCAAAGCCTTGCACCTCTGACGTCCCATGAACTGAGCATTCTCATCGAGGTAAGGCCCGCTCAGGCCCCTCAAAGAAAGGCCAAACTCCAAGCCCTGAACACCACAAACCTCAGCTCAAGGCAGGTCGAAGTTGTTGATGTTGTAGCCAGTGATGACATCCGGGTCCACGTCCTGCCAACGCCGGAAGGGCCCTGGGTCTTCGAGCGACAATTGGGGATAAGCGCAGAGATGTGAGATGAGCGTGGGGTTGCTACTAGTATAAGGATTGTTGTAAGGGTTGCCACAAGGGCTCTGTCAGGGGGGTTCTGAGACTTTCGGCGGAAGCTCTGAGATACATCGACTGCGCCAACGTTTTGAAAGATGCTGGTGATCGTTCTGAGGGTGCACCCATGGTTGCTTCTTCCGAGAATGAAACCTGATCTCCTTTTGTCAGCACCATTCTTTTTCTTGCTGGCCCCACTCCACTCCGCTAACAGTGCCGGCGCAAAGGCCGCGGAGACTGCACCGTCGTGCAACCTTTAAGGTTGAGGGCTGAGTGTTCAAATCTAGCGCTTCGGGTTGGAATGTGATTCTTGCCCTGAACCGTCAAAACTACGTGCACCTGTGCGACTAAGAACTTCGAGAAGAGAACGGATGCTTCGATAGATGGCTGCGGCGAACTTTGGACCCCATGGAATCTTGCGGAAAGCATGCTTCAGACACCCGGCACTTCAGCTTACGAGTTAAAAACGCCAAAGCCTGAGCTCTCAAGCTCTGGGCCTGAAATCCTTCCACAGTTCCACTTCTTCCCTCTGCTCCTTATGACGACTCCCCGTCCCCACCCTCCATCTCTCAAGGTCGGGCCCAAGCGGGGTTCCCGGTGTAATGACGTATCCTCTGTAGGACAATGCACCTGGGAAAACACAGAAGTGACACGAGGCTGGTCCTGTAAGGCAGCTCCTGTTAACACCTTGAAACCTCTTTTAGAAGAGGCTCTTCTCCGACGCCACAGCCCAAAGCCAACACCCCCCCTCAACCTTCCAAACTTTTCCTACGCCCCGCTACATCCCCCAACCCCAGGACCAAACCCTAACCCCAAATCCGCAACTCTAAAGGGCTCCACAGGCTGAAGTAGACAAGGCGATAAAGCTGGAGGAGATCACGCAGGTGCCTTGATACGGATCATCCCTCCCGTGGAAGCCCGTCAGCCCCTAGCCGAGAGACAGGAGCGCCCAGGGACGCTGCACGAACAGGAACACGAAGCTAGCCGTGAGCGTTGTCAGGCCGAAGATTAGCATCCTCGAATTATATAAGACAAAAAGCATCAGCCCCCCCCCCGGGCTCTCGAGGGGGTTGACATGTTTGAATGCCTTTGTGCAAGGCTCTAGAGTGTCTTCAATTATGAAATGACGTTCAACTCATAAAAAGCGTCCTTCGAACATTTTCCGCACCGTCAATCTTTACAAGTTTTGGTCCTGATTGGCATGGGGCATACGATGGCACTCCCCTGGAGGACCATGAAACCTGACTCTTTCAAGCGCCAACTGCTGCCGTTTGGGTATCCTACGTTCACCCTTTATTCTATATCTCCTGTTCGGGGTTCCATGTTAGTGTAGGGGCTGTGGATTCCTAGTTGCTGGGTCCCACTCACAATGTAACCCTTACAATTATGGCAAGATGGTAATTCAATCCCAGCATTACCGAATCGACTGTAATAGTGACGGCCCTTCCCAATCGCTGCTTGGGCACAGCTGACTTGGCCAGGTGAAGAGGGAGAATACCCGGTCGTTGATGGAGCTGTGTGATTCCACAAAGAACTGCCTGGTTGCTTCGGGGTTTCGGGTTTAACATGCGCCTCGATAACCAGAATAAGGTGTTGCTGCTTCATGTGATTCAGGAGCCCTGAGGAGCAATGTTGGTAGATCTTCAGGCTTCCATATTCGATGTTCGGGAGTCCGGATTTCGGAGTCGGGGGTCGTAATTAGGGTTGAAGATCCCTCAGCCCTGAACCCCAAAGCCGCGAAATCCTGACAGCTTGGGGCTGGAGAACATCAGCTCGGAGGGGTTAGCGGTCATAAAGTCATGAAGCAGTGCAGGGCTTAGGCTTTACAAAGTCGTGCATGGACTAGGGTTTAACGAACAGTTCGGGGACTGAGGGCTTAGGGAAGCCTGCACGTCTAAACTCACGAGACGGAAGTCCTAGTACTGGCAGGAACCTGAAACCCAATATAGACCAGAGGCCTGAATAATTGGAATCGGCTCTTGGGGCCTGTATAGTTACGATAGGAACCCCAAGGAATAGTAGTAGCAAGTAAGTCATCAACTGCTTCTGTCGGCTTCGAAAACTTAAACATTGTCCTCGTCCGGAGAGCAGAGAAGGCCACAAGGCCCTACCACAAATCCTTCAAATAGGAGTCACTTACCGCTCATCTTTTGTCAGGGGCCTTGAACTTTGCCGAAACCAGACAGGGTGTAGGGGTCAAGGGTTTCGGCTCTCACTCTCGGACAAATGCAGGCGAGGCTTGTGGTTGTAAGTTGGCGAGGTGAAACAGTCTACAGAAGCGGAGAAAGCACTGCAAACAATAGTAATAAGACCCTGTAGGGTTTGGGGTTAAGGACAAATTCCCAAATCTGAAGCCCAGCGGCACGAAGGGGTGCGCTACGTTGGTACCGAAGGCGAGGCGATTCAGAATCGCCAAGAAACGGCCACCGGGTGTCTGCCTGCAGCCGGTGATAACTATCATCCCATTATCTCACGGAATCCAAACCGTGTAACCCTCAACCCTGAAGTCCCAGCACAACCCCCACCGATTCACTGGCGTCGTCGACTTGATACAAACTATGGGACCCTGATCCTGGACCGTTCATCACGCGAGCTGCCGAGATCAACATGACTGGGGCTGAAGTTTGTCGTATTGGCCTTGCTTGTTCCGCAGATGTCGCGGCAAATCTGAAGCGGACGCTGTGTTTGGTCGCGGAAATCATTCTGCTTGTGGTCGCCATCAATGAAGAACCACTGCAGACGTCTTACTCTTCTGAATACTCTGGCCGCCTGGCCGTGCTGGCTACGAAGCTCCGGCCTGCTGAGAAAAGGGCATCTGTGCCGCTGTGGGCAAAGATGCTTCGGGTAGTGCTTTTGCTGAGATGGCCGCGGTGACGGCGGTTGCAGTGGCCGCTTGAACTATTTTCCGGCGCTCGTGCTGTCTCGCATGTGTCCAACATGATGGCGCAGCCTTTACGTTGTATTCAGCGCTATCTCTGAAAACAAGAAGTTGTTGACATTCCACCCAACCTGGCAATGGTCCTTTTCCGGACATGAGACGCTGAATAGCTGGTATTGTTGCTCGTGTCGACGGATCTGTTGCTGGTAGTGCTGATGCACATGATGTAAATGTACTCATCCAACAGGATTTCTTCGGAATGCCTTGCGCGGCAGCCCTCGCAGAGCATCGCAACTCCGACTGCAAGGGCAGCTTGCCAAGCTCCTAGGGTGCGCAGTTGCCAAGAGCTTTTCGTTGCACAGGAGTCCTGTATGTGCAAGCAATCAAGGCAACATGCTCCGGCCACGAATACGGCTCCGGAGAGGAAACTGTTCCCTCTCTGACCAGTATACCACAAGCCGAAGGCAGAAATAAAGCTTCTTTCCGAAAAGCTACAGGCTCAGCTTGGAAAGATCCCTCTCCTCAGCGTGGGTGGGTTTAGACTTTGCCCTGGTTTTGTGTTCAAGGCTGCTGGGATTGAGTCCTACACTTTCTAACCAAACCCGAAAAGGTTCAACGCTACCTACCACAGCGAAATCAGAAAGTAGCCATTTACCCTAAACCGTAAAGTAGACCCTCAACCGTAGTATCTTCGAAAAAGAGCGCAGCACACCAGCGAACTGGAGGGTTCGAAGTCGACTTTCGGGCTCAGGGCTGCTTAAGCAAGACAAAACCCCCGAGGGTTTTTCAAACTGCAGTAGATTTGTAAGACGGCAGGGTTTACGTCTTTAGGTTGCCGCGACTGAACGTAGAATCACGCGAGGTGCTGCACCACAATCCAAATTCAAAACCCCGAAGAACGCATGCCGCCATAGGCTCAGGACGTCAACGACTGCAAACCTAATCCTCGAAACCAACGCCCCTTAAGCCCTTCTGCCCTCTACAGGACAACGAGATCCCCCGAAACCTGCAAGCCCCACGCAAAGGACACCGACCTATACACTTGCACAACTGTTCATGAACACTTCCTCATACATCTTACTATACAGTTGTATGTGCCGTCGCACTCATGCTTCTCGACTTGCTAGGTCACAGAGTCACAGAATAACCCCAACATGCACCCGAGCGGCCGGTGACCAGCAGCGGATGTTGGCCAACGAACCTGTAGCAAAGTTTCCTCTTGCACGCTCAAGTGGGAGTTTACTGCTTCAGGTCTTCAGGATGGTAGGGCTGTCAAGGCTTTAGGGTTTTTTGCTAGTTTAGTGGTCTGGGCCCCTACACCCATCGACCTAACATGAGACTGGACGCATACATGCTTGAGGGTTAAGAACCCAGGATTAGTCTAACAGGGGTTAGGGTGTATGCGTATTTAGATATACACGCGCACCCTGTACACATATACACGTACAGACAGCTAGAGCGCAGTCGTCGGTAGCATCGTGTAGTCTATGTGTGCTGTATACTTTTATAACGGGGCGCAACCATATATACACATGCCCCTGTGTCTGTATGTATTTTCTTCATTGGCATATGTATATATATAAATATATATATATATATATACATACATACATGTGTATATATATAGATATATATACACGTTGAACGAGAGAGCCACAGAGAGATAAAGATATGTATATTGATAGATGAATAGTAGACAGACAGATAAACAGATTGATTGATTGACTGATTGATAGATGGATGGATAGATGGATGGATAGGTAGGCAGAAGGATAGAAAGACGGATAGATAGATGGATAGAAGGATAGATAGGTGGATAGCTGGATACGTGCATGGATAGGTAGATGAATAGACGGATAGAGAGCTGGATAGACCTGTGGTAGATAAATACATTCGTGGATGGTTGGATTGGTAGTAGGTAGGTGGGTGGGTGGGTGGGTAGGTGGGTAGGTGGGTAGGTGGGTAGGTGGGTAGGTGGGTAGGTGGGTAGGTGGGTAGGTGGGTAGGTGGGTCGGTGGGTAGGTGGGTGGGTAGGCAGGCAGGTAG